ATTTTAAAGCGCAAGATTTTTAGGAGTTGTATTCAACTCTTTTTTTTTTTTTTAATTTATATATATTGTTAGGAAAAAATTTGAATTTTTCAAAAGCTTAATACAACATTTAAAAATGGAAAATTAAGGTAACTAATAAAAAATTTTCTTATTTCAAATAGTAATAGAAATAACAAATTATCAAAACTTAACTATTTTACTTGGTTTAAATGTTTTTCTCGCGGATTTCGTATAAAATGTATGGTAGCTTAGACAGCTTTTATGCGGCATTAGCAGCGGTACGGGAATAATAATTATATTTTGGAGGGGTACTACGTTTACCTTCAAGACGCTCTTCATGGTATGATTTCGCAATTATCGGATTAAACCTAAGTATATTGTGTTCATACAATATTAATACATTCAGCTTGACCAGGCATGCAGTGAGGATAATATTATTAATAATATAATATATGTATATTATATTTGAAACACCTAAATATATTAAGCAAAGGCCTTCCCAAATCCCAATAATTTGCTAAGTAGTGTACACGGTTTAACAAGAAAACTTGTATAGGATTTATTTTGTAAATTGTTCTAGTCAAAGTCTAATGGATTTTAGATTCTGAGTGAGCGAAGATTGGGGTTTTAGTAAAACGTTTATTTATTTATTTTTTTATTTTTTTAAAAATTCTACCAGGAATTATGCTCAGATTTTTACGCACGGCACCATTTCTGAAAAAGAATGTTGTTCAGATGATAATTTCGGGAGGTTAGTTTTGATTTTCTATGCGGTTTTCATAATATTTAGAAAAAACCAAGATAAAACGTAAGAAAAACGGGAAATTTACGAAAATAATGTTTTTATTGTTTTTAAATTTTGTTATTTCTTATAATTCAGTTAAACATATTCGAAGAAGCTTGAAATTTAAACAGAAAACTTATATTTTAAGCTTTATATACAAATTTTAATATTTTTGTTGAAATTCAGTTTAAAATATTCGATTCAACTCTATAGACTTAAAATTAGGACAAAAAATTTATATTTACCTTGTTTAGACGTAGTAAAATGTTTAAAAAATTTCAGCGATTTCTAAGCTATTTATACATATATTAATTTTACGAGTTGTATATATAATTTTTATTCGGTGGGTACTGTGTAGTTTAACTAAAATGTTTGATAATTTTACAGGGGGTTCATTAAGAGTTACTTAGTGGTAAAAAAATTGAGTATAAATTATAAAAGAATTGTATAATATCAAATTTTGACGAAAATCGTTTCATTAGAAAATTACGTGGAACATATTTAATTTTTCAATGTTTTGTTTTGATTTTTTAAATATATATATAAAGCATTTAACGATTTAAAAACGATAGTAAAGTCTGAATTATTGAGCGGATTGACAAGTTTTAGAATTATAGTTTTTTGAAATTCTAATATTATACAGATATTATTAATATATGTTATATTGTTATGTTAAATAACTCAATATTGTCTTTCTTAAAAATATTTGTCGTAATCTAATGGTTATGCACGCCTATTATCATTCTAGGGATCTCGAAACATGGGTTTAAACCCATGTTTCGAACAAAATTGATTGCATTTTTTTCTTCCTTTTACCTAAACAAGGAAAAACCAAATTAATTTTAAGAGTACCTAGATTCCTAAGCCATCGCTTGCTCGGCCTTTTTTAATCGATATTTTTATCTAACTTTTTTACCAGACATCTGGATTCGTGTAGCTTATTTTCTAATAGGAAATTTTATCTCCATGGTAATTTAGGGGGGACATTTATTAATTTTTCAAGTCGTTTACATAATATCTGAGAAAAACCTGGATAAAATGTCAAAAACGAAAAATTTACATTGGTAGCAGTAAAAAATATGATTGCCTTTTTTTGTTTTGTTCACAACTTTTCTATCAACAATTTCGTTCAGATTTAAAATAATAGCACTTTTTCTAAAAGTTAATCTGAATGGGAAGGTAATTTTTCATTTTCCCAACAGTTTTCTCAGCAAATGTAAAAAACCAGGAAAAACATGGGAAAACTATGAAAATCGGGAAAATCGGTACAATATTAAACAAATATTATTAAAAAAAAATATATAATGGCTATTTAATTATTTTACCATAATATGACATATATATGGTTGACAAACTATCAACTAAACTGCTCTTTCAATCTTTTTTTCGTTAGCAATGGTTTATCGTTTCTTACAGATATATATTAAATTACCTATAACCTTTAACCCGTCTCCTTTATCCTAGAATGTCTTTTTTTAAGTTTTAAAAATAAAGAATTTGATTAATATTATAGGACACTGGGAAATCATATAACTTATTTAATATGATCCTAAATTATATCGTTTTTTCTTTAAGTCGTTCTGAATATAAAAAAATATAAGTGATACGTCTACTGATGGGTACACCACTGCTACTATCGAATAATGATTCTGAGCAAAGTTCATTTGGACATGATTTGAATGGCCATAATCTTTAAGATTTTCATTAATTTTGGTCTTAAAATTATTACACACACAAATTACTACAGAACATTATACTTTTATTATTAACTACTAAGTACAACTTATAATAAATTTCCTGATCATTTTTCAAACATTTCTGCTTTTGTAGCCACATAGTATCTGCAAAATAAAACTACGTGAAAACCTCCCAAATATAAAATTTCTATAACTAACTTAAAAACGGCTCAAATATTTTGAATTTTTAACATTTCCCCGTCCTCTAATTTTAAAAATTTGACATTTTTCTTGGCCCAAACTTTATTATCTCGTTAGTATTGGATAGCTGAATAAAAATTATTGTTAGGAAACAGTTGGTTTTTTTTTTAAATGAAAAAATTCAAATAATTTGCAAAACGCATTTTTTTTCTGAAATCAATGTTAAATAAATCGCCACCTCTTTAATAAAACTGCGTGTATGTATTATATTCAGTTATAACTTGTAAAATACTATATTGCAGTCACGTACAAGCATGTATTTAAAGGTATACATCTAATATGTACCTATTATCTGCACTATAAAATATAAATAAATTATTAAATGTAAGATATGCTTTTGTTATACAGTTTTCTGAAAAATATGACTAATAGCAAGGCTTAATTTCTACTTTTTTCTCCTGTAATAACTTCCAAATCCAGCGAATTTTAATAAAGGTTTTTTACCACCAAGCGGTTACCCTCGTTTGTACCCAATAGTAACTCAATAAAATAACGATCGCACCAAGTTTTAATGTAAGAGAATGTAGGGATAATTCGCTTAATTCAAGATTATTTAAAAATTCTGTTGGAAATTGAAAGAGTTGTGCATCTTCTTCTATGATTAGATTATTATTTATACTAAAATAAGTTTTGGAATCTCCAGGAAGAAGTTCAATAATTTTGTTGTTGATGATATTACAATGGTCGTTTTTAGATGCTAAGAAGAAGAAGTTTTTTTTTAGAAAAATTCATTGCACCGGAAATTGGCATTATTTATTGTCAAGGTTATCTGTATTTATTATTCCAACAAAATTCTTCTTTCGACTACGTATAAAAACATTGCTAAGAAAAAAAAACTCAAGTTAGAAAATGTGTGGTATTAAATACGGGCTAGGTAATTTTTTAATTTAATTAGTATAGAAATTGTTTATAATTGTTTGTATTTAAAGAAGTGCGATTATTTAATATAAATAATTAAACTTAGCTTGGCGGCTATACTAATATTTACGACTACAAATAAAGATACAATGCTGACATGAATATTTACATCCCCATTTTATAATTTATTAATATTTTATCATAATACTATTTAAGCATATACTATGAATGATCGTCAAGCTAAGTTAAATTATTCGTATTAAATTATCGCACTTCATCAAATACAAACAATTATAAACAATTTCTATACTAATGAAATTAAGAAATTACTTAGCCTATTTTAGATATCACAACTTTTCTAACGTGAGGTTTTTTTTAGTAAGGTATTTACATATAGTTGACGCCTGATGAAGGGTTTTTTGTTGGGATATCATTTATTTTTTTTATTAAAATTATATACCTAGTTAATCTATGTTTTTTTTCGAGTGAAAAATGATTGGGATAAAATATCTTTGTTGTTTTATGAATTGAATAAATTAATATGTTATGATGTATAGCTCATTATGAATATTGTTGGAGAATGATACTATGGTGATACAGCGATAAAATAAATAAACGAAATTGTTTTTTATTCACCGCAAACGGTCACCTTCGCAAACAGATAGTTACAACGCGTATAACATATACATTATTGAATTGTTGAAAAAAATAGCGTTTCGAGTAAACTCTAATACTTTTGCATATTAATCAGCCTGTAATCATCCGATCGATTTTAAATTTACACCTATTTAACATACTGATCAAATCCTGTACATTTCAAAACAATCAGTTCATTAGTTTAGGCTCCAGATAGGTCGGACCGTTCATCGTAAAATTACACAGGTTAAATAGGGGTTGGCCGTCTCGTGTTATTACACGAGTAATATATTTATTACGTTGAGGTACGAGCTTATTTTTTCTTGTACTTTATAAGTATCAAATATTTTCCTAATATTACCGATGATTTAAGATACTATAACAATTATTATTCATAAAGTTATAACATATGCCTAATTTTATTATAATTGTAATAGTATAAATAAATACATTTAAATTCTGTTTTATTTTATTGTATAGTTATTATATGTAAGTAAATTGCTACCTATACTGTATATTACAGCACGCCTATGCCATCACGGAAAATGAGTTTATAGCCATTATTACATACAAGCTCTAGTTGTGAATTTTCCAGCTGTTTTATTGTTATCATTTTAAATAGTGATTTCGGTAGATATTTTATCATGATTTTTAACAACCATACTATCTTAAATCATGGGTTGCAGAAATAACAATTATAGTCCCTAAGATAACTAATTAAAACACTGTAATATATAATATGAATCAATGTTATTATATCTCAGCCAGACGGCGTTGTGGTTTGGTTAAAAATGTTTGAATTCGTCTAAGTACAAGTTATTACTGGTGGGAAGTAACAACTTTTCGTTTAGTTTGTTAAAGTTGCTAGTGTCTTTATCATTTTGTATGGTTGGCACGTATGGCGGCATTATCTGTTTATCGAACAATGCACACCAGTCCCAGCCAGTCGGTTGGAACCACCTGTGCTTCTTAATGTCACGGATGCCGTTTGACAAGTTGCCATAACGCTTGGTAACGTCGACCCTGAGTAAGTTTCGCAACAAGTTCATCAGATCACCCGAAAATCCCAACGGGCACACGTATTTGCCTTTCACGATGCACCTAAATAGCCTCTCCATATCATGGTGGACGAACGGCGAACGGCCGGCCACCAACTCGTACAAAAAAACTCCAAAGGCCCAATAGTCGACAGATTTCCCGTAACCTGCAGTACAATCATAAAAATGCGAGTACAGCAGATTTAATTTTTAGTTCGTTTATGAAAATTTACAAGACGTTTAAATGGATTCTGAACCGTATACCCATAATTACCTTGTCTGAGAATTATTTCCGGCGCGATATATTCAGGCGTGCCACAGAATGTGTACGTACGCCCTGTGATGTGTTTGCAAAACCCGAAATCAGCAAGTTGAGCGTGTCCTTGGCTATCGAATAGTATATTTTCTGACTTAATGTCTCGATGCACTAAGTTCAACCGGTGTAGGTATTCTAGGGCCAAGAGGATTTCGCCCGTGTAAAATCGGGCCACGTCTTCGTTCATTGGTCCATGACGCTCTATGTGAGTGTAAAAATTGCCCCCACATGCAAACGGCATGACAAAATAAATGAAATCGTTGTCCTGGTAGAAATACTCTAGTCGAATGACGAACGGAAAATCAATGGATTCCAAGATCCGTTTCTCATTATAAACTCGCTCCACCTTTTTGAGAAAAAAAATACCTAATCAATATTTTGTCAATGATAGATTTTATTGGACCCCAAGACTCACATATAATAACCTCAAAACGACAGTGATGACAATATTTAATAACCAGGAGCGTATATACAGACGCATATTATCTCAACGTAGGCCAAGCCATAAAATAACCATTTTGGTTTTAGAAGTTTTAGTAGGTTTTAAAAATCGTTTACAATTGTTGATCCAAACTAGTCCTGAACACTTAATCCAGATTGATAAGGATTGGAAAAGATCGTTGCAATTCATATAATCCGAATTACAATGATCTATCCGGATTGCCGTATCAATCCAAATTTATAGATTAACGTATTATTTTATTAATTTGGGATAATGATTAATCAACAGGATTAATGATTTAATTTACTGAATATAAAATTAAAAAACAAATTATATATAATAAGTAACGCGGCAATTAATGCCTAATTTTAATATCATAGAGTGAAAATAAATACAAATATAATAAATATTAATCATTTGTTTCCATATAAAAAAAATAAATCATTAAGTTTATTATACAGTTTATTCAAAATATAAAAATATCGCTAATATTATTTAAATTTTTCATCTCTTGATTCGTCCAGATCCAGAATACCAGATTTATATATTGATCATGATTGTGTTATTTAGACTGACGGATAAATTCATCTATCCAGATGACGGATCGAATCCATCAAATTGGATTTAACGACTTAATCCTGATTCAATAAATATATTTGTCAATTTAGATTTTAATTGTAAAATTCTTACCTAGCACTCATCCTTCAAATCGGATACTGCTCCAAGGAAATTAATTAAACCTAAGTTTAAACCTAAAATCTACTATTAGGATTGCGTATTTATTTATCACTAGGAAGGAAATCATATAAGGTTCATAAAATATTTGCCAACCGAAAGTTATAATTTTTTTTTTTCCTCTTAGTACATTTTCAAATTGGAAGTTTCTCACACAAACAATTTAGATAAATTAATTAAAATTAACTGCTTGACGGGCAAGACTCACTAATTCTTTTTTGATGATTTTCTTTTTGGCAATTACTTTCGTCGCGTAAGTCACACCGGTTTGATTGTGAGTTGTCAACGCGACAGATCCAAACGCTCCTTTGTCTAGCCAAGTCGACAATCTAAAGTCTGTCGCCTGGGCCACCATCGTCAACGGTTTTTTATTGACGATGTAACTATGATGGAAATCTTGTTTTTTTCCATTCCAATATTCGGTAAGTTCACACGACGATATCTGACTGTCAGATAAATTTCTCAAGTCATCTTCATTGGATTTTTTTTGTTGAGATATAGAATGACCCATATTAATGTATGGTTTTTGTTATAATATATTGTATAAAATCGAGTTGAAATAAAAAAAAAAGTAAATAACGAAATCGTTGGTTTTGTCGTTGCTGATACCAAATAATAATAATAAAATTAATATTTTAAAAGATTTTTACCTGGCAACCGGTCGGAAAAATGCCTAGCATATTTGACAACTGTATATCTATATATTAGTTGATACCAGTAGTGTAGTTCAGGGTGTACGTGGTTATACGGTGTGTAACAACTTCTCAATTTCTTAGTTGATGCGTGGACTTATACCTAGTATAATGTGTGATACGTGAGTATACGCATAAGGGCATAATAATTTTTTTCACAAAATGGCTATTTTAAAAATGTTCTAAAGTGATTAAATAAAGTGATTTTTTTTTTTTTGTGTTTAGGGGATGAAAATAAATATTTAATTATACTCCAAATCGAGGTCTCCCTCTAAGACAAACCGATTGGAAAAAAAAAATCGAAAAAAATTTAATACACCCTTGGGTATAGACATAACTGAATTGTAAGAGGGTGTAGCCACTTCGGTTAGGTGACAGTCTGTAGTGCAAGATCTGAGTGTAGTATATGGTTCGATACATTGAAGAGTGCATTAGTGACTACACGAAGTGATATAGACTGAACGTTTGCATTATTTAAATGTTGGATTTTTTTGTCGCTCTCTATAACGGGAAACCGTAGGCCCAAATAGGCTTCAGAAGGGTTTTGTAGAGAAACAGTTTATTATTCAGGTTACGTTTGGAATGCTTACCTAAAATTGGTTACAGAGAATTTCGTCTACAGTTTAGCAAAAGACGTTATTATTTTATATGTTTTTATAAGCGTTTATCAAGGATCAAACCTAAGTATTTGACGCTAGTAACCGATGATATAATTTTGTTTGGCTGAAAGATCGAAAGGAATAAGCCTAATCTAAGAGTAACGGTGATAAGTGAATATTTTTCATTTTTCAACCTTTTTGACAAGAATATTGAAAATTCTCTCTCTTCTCCTCTATCTCTTTATCCTGCTCCCAAACCGTTCTCTCAGGTGAAAACAAAATTGTATTAAATTTCTGTATATAGATATACCTACGCACTTTTGCTGTACCCTTTTTAATTATTTTCCAATTCAAGCAGTGCCAATAATGTAATGTGTTATACTATGATGCTTAAACCTGATTCAAATCTGCAGTTGCTAGACTAAGTTACAAAACATACCAAGTATTGTGCCTTTTAAACAGTGTATGGTAATATTTAAAATTGTTAAAATTATATATTTTCTACAGAATAAAAAAAAAATAACAATGATAGAAACAGAAACTTTTAAACTTCATTTTTGACGATACATATTTTTTTCCCTTGTAACAAGTTTTTTTTATTACATCTTTTTCTATTTGTTTTTGTTTTTTTTTTTCGCGTAAAGTGTTTGAACAAAGAACAATATTTGCAAGTCAGGTAATGGAAAGTCGTGCACAGCTGCTGTAAAACATTATTAAATGACCCCCACGTTATTATCTTTGTATACGATTTATAATAATAACTTTTAAAATTATTCAATTGATATCTAACCTAACTGACATGACTTAATATTAAAAAAATATGAAAACGTATTAAGATAAATAGAAAACATATTATTTTTGGGAGCAAAATTATGTAGATTTAGTATACACTATTATTGTGGCCCGTGTTATTTTCGTAGAAAATTCCCCGATTTATATCATGTCGGTGTATCTAAGTATAATATTTATTTTGTATAAAATATATTTTGAATGGTCCGTCTGTAAAACAGTAGTTTATACAAAAATATTGTCCAATGTTTACATGATCAATATGCAGACAAACTAGTAGGAAAATCGATTTATTTTTATTTTTATTTTAATATACTTTTTGTTAGACTATTATTGCGTTACGCTTATTTTATATTCTGTACATATCACAATAATAATAATAAAATACTATCGGTTTATTTATGATTCTCTACAGCAATATTATTACGATTACCTTTTCAAAATACTTCATTATAATAATGTCATGTTTACAATGTTATAACTATACCACGCGTAGTCGTTATCCTTACCAGTTTAATCCCAACATATTATTTTACCTTTTAAAAGCTGAGTTTTTATAAATTCAATTTGATGTGTCTCTCCGTTTCCATACCCTAACACTATCGCCAGTGACGTATCGACGGATAAATGTATGGGTATACGTGCATAAAAAAATTTGAATATACCCCAAACAATTTGTTTTGCAATAACATTCCACTTACTTATATTTTATTACAAACACATAGATTTACCTACATATTGCCATAATTAATATTTTACTGGCATATTTTTGAAATGTTATTTTGTTATTTTAATTTTGTCATTTAAGTACTAATTTTCTAACAAATACCTATTCGCATGACTATTTCGGGACTTTTTGAAATTTATACCGAAATTGAGATTTTAGTAATCAAAGTGAGTGGTAATCTGACCGCATATGGTTCAGCAGGATATCTGCTATGAAGATCTAAATTTTAAACTTGCCTTTAATTCTTATTATGTCATATACGGAATATATTGATATAATTATATTTTATGAAACTTAATGTTTTAATTTTTTTTTTTATAAACAATAAATTGTAGTATTTATTAATAAGTAATAGTACAAAACAACCATATTATCGTCAATGTTATTTTGTTTAAAATGACTTATGTATAATTTATTATTATCAGTAAGCGATATATCTTATCTTAAACTTTTTGATTGCGGATCGATTTTTAACAATCATCTATTACATAAAAATAAATGTAGGTCTGCTCGTAAATTATGGACTCTTGGACCGTTTAACAGATTTCGATAAAAATTTGCGAAGAGATAGATTACATCCTCGAGAAGAATATAGACCATTTTAGACATGTCTGAATAAAATCCCTGAAGGAGAGATGACACAAGGAAATTTGTATTTAAAATTAGTTAAAACAAAAAAATAAATAATAAGGTAGTGCACGTAAGGGCTGTAATTTGTCTATTATTTCTTTTGTTACGGGCAACGCCGGGCAAGATAGTAATATGATGTAATATTCGTCAGACCCCTGACGAAACTCCGCTCGCTACCGTAAAACACGATATTCGGAGCGCTTTTGACTATGTGCCGACGACCACCACTTGAAAGCTACATACGAACAGTGTCCATCGGCAGAATTTCTTCCGAATTGCTTACCGGTTATTTTTTTTTATGTAGATACATGTTAGTTGCGTCCGTAAATTGAATAAGCTACATTTTCTAAACTGAACCGATATCATTTAATAGTTATAAAATTTCAAACTGATAATATTGCCTAATATAATGCTTTTTCAAAATCGGCAAAAGCACTATTAGGGGACTATTATACTCGCGCCCACTACAAACGTTGTTTAACCTCCCCTTATAGTTGTTCAGAGAATAATGAGTATTATTGTACGGTTGACCAGATACGCGTTTTGTTTTATTAGCTTAGCTCGCAGGTCGACCGATCTACTTGATATATATATATTATACCAACAAAATTTTAAGAGTGAAATATCGACTATCTGTATTTGGTAGCCAATTCAATTACCTCGGTGCGCTCCACGTATCGGTCGTAAACTAAATTACTTTCGACTACCCATAGAGTAAATCACCTAGGTTGGACGCATTACCTACGTCTTAATACTGTCGCGTCGTAATACCTTCATACTACTTTTATATTGTTATCGGGGATAATGTCGAGCAGACTTACGAATCGTTATTTTGTCGTTGTTAGATTACTGTTTACTCTGGTAAATAATTACTAGACCGTATCGTGAACGGTAGCAATCAAAACAGCGCTTTGAGACGAGTCTGTACACTAAACTACGATTTAAGACGTTATTAAATCGTAAGTACCTGCACTGATTGATAATCAATCAATGTAACGACCGTACCAACCCAATTTCGGTATCATACGATGTACCTACCATGCAGTGTGTGATTATAGATAAATTAGGAAAATGTTTAGCGGAATAGAGAGACTGTTTGGCAAGATAAATCTAAGACACTTCTTCGTAAATATGGTGGCCTAAATCGATTATATATATATATATAGGAAAATGTATATAGATACTGCAGAATATCTGCTCATTCCCTCGCATTTGTACGAAACAGTATAAAACAATGTTCTATGTACGAAAAATTAAAAACTGAGTATAACAATATTTGGAATCTTACAATGGATATTGATTTACAGAAAAACTAACGGAGGTTCTATATTTAAAACGAATGAAAACTTTATATGCAAATATACTTGTATTACGCTTTCTTTTTATAAAATGGATTTTAGCTACAAACATTCGAAAGATCGTCTATACCATATATACTTACAGTATATTCAATTTGTAATATACCCCCTCCCCTATACATGTATATGTGCATAAATATAAGTACCTTTTACTTGGGGGTTTTTTTTTTTGTACACTAGATAAATAATTACCACCCAAAAAAAAAAAATAAATATTATTTTGTTTGGTAGTAAGCATTAGCACAAGAAGGAAAATATTATAAAAACACAATACTTTAAAAAGAGATACCGTTGTAGGTGGGAAGTTGGGAATGTACGATACATAGAATTATTCAATTAGTTTGTACGAAAACTAATCCTAAGAGGGGCTCGAAAAATAATTTACACCAAAACTTCATGTATAAATATAAAAATTGTATAGAAAAACAGCAACGCCGTCCAAGTTACCCTCCCTGCATCGACTATATACCGCCATCCCCACAGCACCCGCTCACGAATCCCCCGCCACCATCGGCGCTGTACATAACCGTCTAAATTATCATCCCCTTTACACCACCACCTCAACCGTCGTTACAACTGTATCGTTCAATGTCTCGTCATTTCACGCGAATTTTACAATCAAAATGTCTATTGCTCAAAAATCGACTAAAGATTTTTAAAATTTCAGACTTCTAAGATTTGTTTTTAACCAAATAACGAAAAAATATAAAATCGAA